GGGGGGGTATGAACAGGGGCGGCCGCTCTGCGTCTCGCGCCACGTCCCTCTGTGGGTCGCCCCGTGGTGCCAGTAGGCTCGCCAGTGGGCTCGCCAGTAGGGTAGGCTGCTGCTGACTCGGCCTCGGCTTTGGGGGGCCGTGCGGAGGCGGGTCGACCGCCGGCCGAGCTCTCCTGCGGCGATACAACATAAGTCACGGTCATGACCCACCCCTCCACGCAGAACGTTCCAAAAAGCACCCCAACAAGATTGTGCGGCGCAGCTCAATATAGCGAGCATTGTTGCAACAACTGGCGCCAAACGAAAACGAACGCACATTATGTTTGGTCCGAGACGAACCCTTCGCTAAGCATCGCTTTGTAATTGCAAAGTAAATGTAAATGCTTCCTGGTCACAAAGGATCTAAATCCAATTTAACAGTGCCGAGTTTCACGACTCGCCAGTTTGTAAATAAAATACATCATTCTGCTCACCCGAATGCTACCACTCTTTTCTCTCGCTTTTGGTTCCAAACCCTCAAGTCGACTGCACTGAACATTTCCTTATTTTGCGAGTCCCCGGCCTTACCGTTCTGTGGAGGGGCGAGGGGGAGGCGGTAGCCGGTCCACTCGCAGTCGCTATCGCCGTGGGGGCGGGCTTTGCGGGGCGTTGTATCGGCAAAGGGGGGGGGGGGGGAGAGGAAGAGGAAAAGAGGCACCCGCCGCCGCGTCTCACCCCACCCCGCACAGCCCGCGCGCTAATATTGGGCTTGTTCGAGCCAATTTCCAACTATTTCACTTAATTAATTTGGGGAGCGGCAGCAGTTGAGACGCGCGGGGCATTCCCTGCGTTCGGCGCGCGGCGCTTACGGGTCTCACTGGGGACAGCGGCACCGCAAGGGGCGGGCCAGAGGGGGGGAGTTGGAGGGGAGAGGGGGGAGGGTTGAGGTTAGGGTTGAATACACCCCGGCGTCACGCCCCAGAGCCGGGACCCTCTCTCGCCAGCCCGACCCCCAGGGGGGTAGCACACCCAGAAACCCTCTCCCCTTCCTACCCTGCGGGTCCAGCGCGGGTTCGCGAGTTCGCCGACGCCGACGTGGCTCGGTGTCCCCCCCCCCCTCGAGAGTATCCTGACGGTCCAGAAGTCCCCCTTACCCCCTCCAGAGTGAAAAGAAGAGCCGAACCGGAATTGGATGGCGCTATGGGCTGCGCCGTGAAGCAGCGCGGGGGAGGTGACTCTCTCGGCCGAACCACGCGACACCCAGCAAGACCTGTCGCTCCAATGAGCAGCGCCGTGATAAATAATTGGGCAGGCAAAAGAGAGGTTCAAAAGAAAAAAAATTTAACTAAACAGTAATGATGAGATGTGGCCTTCACTTAAGCTACACACACATTACAACAATTTGAATTAAATGTAACAACTTTGAGACGACTTATGGCGTGAAAACTGATAGATTTTGACCCAAATTCCTTATCTTCTGTAATTGAACCAGTCAATATTTTTTTTTCATTTATTTATTAAACAAAACACAATGCACTTTCACTCACCGTATGCGTGGCAGCGAGATCACGTCCTTCCCCGAGGCCTCGATCCAGCGCACCTCGGGGTCCGGGGAGCCGCGGGCCGCGCAGGACGCCGTCACCCCGGAGCTGTTGGAGAACTCGAGCGAGGCGGGCGGCTCCAGGGTGAACTGCGGCCCGTGCGACCCCTGGTGCGGGGATCCCGGCGGGGGGCCGGCGGGGCCCGGAGGGGGGCCGGCGCCTAGCCCGCGGCCGCCTGCAACACACGAACGGAGGAGAGAGTGAGAGGGAGAGCAAGAGGCAGAGAGAGAGAGAGAGAGAGAGAGAGAGAGAGAGAGAGAGAGAGAGAGAATCGCGCTTTGGCCGTCGGACCGCAGCCCAGGGGCCAGTAGACCCGCGTGGCAAATCAAGCAAACTGCTGCGTTGACTTCGCAATGAGAGGCGCGAGGGGAGGGGGGGGGGGCATCGTCCTGGCCCGGCACGACGCGCCCTCTGCTTCCGGCTCACGCCGAGCAGCCTTTCCTATCTCTTTTCCTCATCCTCCAGGCCTCTGGACCGAAGAAGACCAAGACCAACTTGGTAGGCGGGTCTGCGCGGCTGCTGTGGGGCTGCCGAAGTACTGCTGGCGGCGGCCGCCGGGGGGTCAGGGGTACCGAAACCAAAACAAACTGCCCCGCCGAGCAAAACACGCAGCAAAGTAATCCGGTGCTACTTCATCTCCGCCACCGGCATCAACACGGCGCACTGCCAATGACGAGGCCAACGAGAAGCGAAAACAATTAATTGGAAATTTGTCGGTAGTAACGTGGTAGAAAGTTTGACAAGAAACGGGAAATCAGAGTCAATGCAACGAAGGAAGGATGGCTGATTGCTGATGTAGTAAGTTTAAGGGTTCGGATTGGAAAGCTGTCCAACAAATTGTGACGTGCATGATGGGACTGCGTCATGATGGCCATGTCGTGATGTGGACACGGTATGGCTATAAAGGGGGAGACTCAACTCTACGACCTTGTTTATTTCTCAAGGATCCTCGAAATGTATACAAGTTCCACACATTTGCAAATCAGTACACGTCGAGAGGAACATGAGATGGTGGCTGCCCCCCACCCCACCCTCTCTCTTCCAGCCCCGGGGCACCGTCCCTCCCTCCCTCC